GCTGACTCCTTGAAGTAGAATCGCCGGATGCCAATCAAACAGCGATCGATAAACTCCGACCAATCGCACTGGCTGGCATCGAAATTATAGCGTCGCCGATCGCTCTCTGGTATCAACGCTGATATACGAAGCGCATTCTTAAGGGAGTATCGGAAGTCCTTGTCCAGGAAGTAGTCGAAGGCCTTGGTTCCTTTTTGGAAAACGCGCATGTACTCATAGGCTCTAAAAAAAGGTGAGTTTCAAGGTGATGATTGAAGTTAGTACAGCTTAGTTCTATGATTTTTGCGCCCTTATAATTCCCAAGTCGCTTTTTGGAAAACTTTAAGTGCTTTATTTTTGTGTTATATATATTCAAACACAACGCTTATCATTTTAATGCAGTTTCTAGTTTGTTTTCTGAAATCCAAGGTAATTTATAATTTTATCTAACTTACGTGTGCTGCGGCATTCCGATTCCGAATAGCTTTTCTGGAATGATAAAGACCATTGCTGGCAGCAAATGGAACAGATAGAAGAACAGATTGTAACGCCATCCATTGCGCAACTTGGTCGCCGGTTTCCAAACAAAACTGTTGGGCGGATGCCGTTCCACGCTGTCGTTGATGATCGTGCAGAACTCGGCGAGGTTCAGGGGATTTACCTCTCCCGAGGTGCAATGGATGATCTCCGGCTGCTCCAGCTTCCGGGTGCCCACGTACCAGCCCATGACCAGTGATGAGTTGATCACATAGTCGCATGGTATGATGTCGATCACAGCATTAGCACTCCCGCACATTGTACGGAAGATTCCCTTCACAAAGCCGGCCAAGAAGCCCAGGTGCCCAGAGTTCGCGTTTCCCACCCAGCCCTTCATCGGGTGCTCCAAGGTGCCGTATACTGTAAATGGAGGCAAAACAATAGTTAAGAATGATTTTTATTGAGCTCTCCCCAGTGGAAACTCACCAATCGATGGCCTGACTATGGCTGCCGGCAGTCCCGACATCTCGGCCATCAGCAGATTCTCCGAGAGGTTCTTGGTAAACGTATACGTATTGGGATGATCCCGGATATAGCCCTTGCACTTTTGATCGGTGAAGTCCTCCCAGGCGGAATCGTCCTCGGCCATTTTCATCATCTCGTACGGATCGAACTGTGACTTGTACACCTCCTCGGCAATCAGACCCCGATTATTGCTATTGCAGAAGGCCGTGGAGCAATAGATGTAGGCGGCCAGTTGCTTCAGCTGCTTGGCCAGCTCAATGGTGCGCATCGTTCCCGTGAGATTGGTGCGAATGGCGGTGCGCAGCGGAGAGCTGAACTTGATGGTGGCGGCACTGTGGTAGATCACATTGACCCGGTCGATCAGCTCCTGCAGCAGTTCGGGGGCAAAGCCAAAGTTCGGTTCGCTCAGTTCACCAACTACAGGGACCACCTTGGCCAGGGTCTTCTCAGAGTACTTTTCGAAAATCTGTTAGAAGAGGTTTGAATAATGCAATAAAAAAATAAATACTTAAGTTTTATGATGATCGGGTCAAGTATTTAATAAAAATCAAAAGACTAAAAATGATTTTACGACTTTAAATTGCAGGCAATAAATATCTTAATGTGAATGTTTTGGTCATAACAAAATCTTGACTTAATAATGGTAATATCTAAATCTATTAACTGGTATTCAATGATTTCATGACATTTAATCAAAAACAATTAAAAATTGGTATGCAATTTTAGTAGTTTAAAACCAGGTTTAAGCTCGAATCTTTTCCCCCTGTGGACACGGATGTTGCAAATTAATTTCACTGCTGTCTGGAGGTCGGCATGGCAACTATCCACGCCCACATTATGCCCAACAAATTATGATTGTTAGCGCTGAGTGTTTTCTTCTGCATTTTTACCTTTTTTGGAAATACTTGTAAGTAAGCAATTTCTAAAGCAAACAACATTTACTGTTAGCTGCTTTTGGTTACGCCATTAAAAATACGTTTAAAAATATAATTAACAATATGTGAAGAGACCCGTAAGAAAAGAAAGAGAGAGCCACATAATGGGAGGACTGGCTTTGTTGGGACGAAGATTTAGGCACTATTTGGTTTCGTACACTCAAAATAAAATTAACCCTAAAGTCAAGGAAATCGCCCTACTTTTGTCTTCAAGACAAGCTCGCCCTAAATTTTAGGGTCACATTTTTCTATATTTTTGATTTTTTTTGACGTCATATTTCTAAATTTTAGGATAATTTTACTAAATTTAAGGGCAAAAATTTCTAAAAATTAGGAAATTTTCCTAAAAAATAGAAATTAAAAACAAAGCAAAAAACATGTTCAATCATGATTTTTTTTTGTATATACGTTTATATTATGTACTCCTCCCTATATACATATGCAGGCGTTGTGTGTCATGTATATTGTGAATGTTAAAGGTTATGTATTTATTATTATGTATTTGCGCTTGGATTTCGTATCTAACCAAAGCCAAATGTGGTTGTAAATGTAGACTACGGGACTGCGGAAGATTGGGAATGTAGAAATTATGATTAGTTAATATTTTATGTTCATGAAAAAAAACTTACAATTTTTACTTGTCCGTCGTGAGAATCGAACCCGGGTCTCCCGCGCGAGGAGCGAATGGCCTACATACTGGGCCATTGTAGCACTTAAACTTGCTGTGGCAAACCGAGCATTGTATGTAAAGGGTGAAGCGGACAACACATTTGAATACTAATTGCATAATTTTGACCATTCGCGTTTTACTTATTTACATACGTATATACATATGTATATATTTATGCTAACGCAATTTATATTATGTGTAGTATATAGTAAATAGCTGAATATAAACCTAATTATTTTTAGTTTACCGCTTGCCATCAATAAAAAAAGGAATAAAAAAAAGTAAAAAAATAAATAAAAAGAAAAGAAAATAAAATAAATAAAAAAAAAATAAAATAATAATAATAAAATAATAAAAAATAAAATAATAATAATAAAGGTTAAAAAATTTTGCTCTGGGACTCGAACCCGCGTCGATTCGATTGCTAACCAAGTGCTTTAACGGTCTGCGCCACGAGTACAGCCGGCCGGCAGCTGACAAGTTCTGGCATTGAACATTTTGGTGTGCCAGAGCATGTGAAAACAAATATTTCTATTTTTTAGAAAAAATTTCTACTTTTTAGAAAGTGTTTCTATTATTTAGGGTTGGTTTCATTTTAGGGTTAGGGCACTAATTTTTAGAAAAGGTGTTGCCAAAATATTTTATTATTTTCGTTTGCCTTTCTATTTTTCAGAAAATAATTTCTAATTTTAAGGGCATTTTTTCTAGATTTTAGGGTGATTTTAGTTCATGGTAACCATTTTCTACATTTAAGAAAAACTTCCTGGATTTAAGGAAAACTTTCTTGACTTAAGAAAAATTTCCTTAGATTTAGAAATAACTTTCTTGTATTTAGAAAAAAGAAATTTTAATGGCGATTTTCTAAAATTTAGGGTTAAATTTATTTTGAGTGTATGCAAAAAGAGTGTAAGGTAATTTTAAAAGCTAAACTTTCATAGTTTTGTGTTTAAAAAATTATGCAAAATTAAAAACTCAAACGAAAAGAACATATAAAAAAAAAAATATAAAATAATTCGCGTGTTAAAAATAATTTTTTATAATAAAATTTATCCTAAAAAATTTTTAAAAGAGTATTGCTAACTCTTTGTAAATTCAAAACGAAAGCGAATGAAAATAAAAAAGCCAGCGGAAGAGGTCGGCGATGTTACGACTTGGGCAAATTAACGCCCCATAAAGAGACTCGTAATTGGCTTTAATGATACACCTTGTAGACAGCTCGTCGGGGGCACATTCGTGTCAGGGGGCGTGGCCGGGTGCTGCCCCCTTTTTAGCGGCCAAAAAATAGTAAGGCGAGAAAAACGGCACTAGACTTACCGGCTTCTGGAGCAGTCGACGGATCCGCTCGTTCGGATCGAACTTGCGCTTGCCCCGGACCAGAACGTAGATGGTTCCAATGTCCGGATGTGTGTCCAGTAGCGCCTCTATGAGGACAGTTCCCAAGAATCCAGTGCCGCCGGTGACGAAGATGTTCTTGTGGGCAAAGAATTCCGGAATGGTCAGCGACGTGCTCAACTGGTGACCGCTGACCCGGAGCTTTCCATTCCCGATGCTGTTGTTGTTTTCCGGGGGAGAGGTGGTGCCGCCATGTTCCGTGATGACAGCCATGGTGTAGGGCTCGAGATTCGTCGGCGGCGCCAATTTGCTGCTGAGATTTGAAGTCGGTTGGGCGAGCTGAGGAGGGGAAATAAAACAAGGAAACGCGCCGTGACATCGGTTAGTTCAAGTCCATTAGTCCAACTGGATCGCTGCGACAATATAAATTCAGCCGGCGATCGAGGGCAGTGCCGAAAAAGCGAGAAACCTGATACCCTCCTCAGTGTGTCAAGTTGAGCTTGCGGCGGAAGTGCATCATAAATCTGTTATCAAAATTAGATGGAAGTGGAGTGCACGATGCGGAAAGCAGACAACCTCAATTCGGTGCTGAATATTTAAGCTTTTCACTTCCACACTTTTCCACTTTCGGTGTGAACCTAAATGGAAATTTACTTCAAAGGCCAACCGCTTTCGTGATAAGATAAATCATTAAAATAAATAAATTTTCACATTTCTAAAAGAAAATTGTATTTAAATTAATTAAAATCGTATTACCTAAAATAAATAGTTAATTTTCCCGCTAGACTCCGATCGACGACCAGTAGGTCTTGACTTCCTCCTCGATTTTTCTGTTCAACTCGGTTAGCATTGCCTTTTACTTCCTGGGAAAAAGTCATCAGCGTACTCATAATATTCCCAGTTTGCGAAGCATTCAGTTCACAAAATTTCGGTCATTCTTTTCGGAGTTGAAAATTTGTAGCTTTCAAAATTGAAAATTTGAAATTTCAGTCCGGAAACTCATTTTGCCTTACAAGCACCCGGAAAACGCATCAAAATTATTAGTTTCTGAATTCAGAGGGAGTTCGAGTTCAATCGAAGGCCAATTTGTTGCACAATGAATACCACTTTTAAGGTGGCTCGAGTGAGTCTAAATCGATGTTGGCGGTTTGTTAGCCAGAAAGCCAGGAGTGAGGTTCCCGGTTTGCGAAGATTACCAGCACCGGCGGTTTCCAGCCAAAGGCGTCGCTATGCCGAACGATATACCTTCGACGACAGGACGCAGGCCCAAATTGAGGGCAGGAAAAGGGAGATGAGCGAGGTCCCGGTTCCCAAGGAGTCCCCTTGGCGCGATGGCGAGTGGAGTGCCGATTTCCCCGAACGTTTGGATGAGTTGGGCTACGAATCTCATTGCAACGATCGCCTGTACATAGCGAAAAACAAATTCCGCCACGACCACGAAAAATATAGAATGGAACGCGAGGAGCGTCGCGAGGAGGCCCAGAAGAGGATCAGTAGTCACTTTGCTCACGGTCAGGGTCACAGTCACGGTCAGGATCACCAGGAAACGGATACCATTCGCCGGCGAGCCATTTTGCAGGATCCCGCCGAACACCAGAAACGGCAGGCGGCCATTATCGAGCAGAATCGACGCAGGTGGCAGAGTCGCCCGGAATCGAGGAGGGAAACGAATACCTCGGAGATAACCTATCGCCCGGATCCGCGAAAGGAGAAGTACATTGAGGAGAAAATGCAGAAGGACTATGAAGACTACCAACGCTCACGACGACGTCCAGAGAACGCGGAGGAGACGGTGGATAGTCAAACGGTGGTCTACGATCCCAATCGTCCCACTGCCGCGTGGGCGAAGAAGCGGCAGCAGGAGCACGAGGCGGAGTACTGGCACTCCTGGCACACCTGTCCAGGCTCCCGGGAGACGGAGACCACGGAGGAGGTGAAGCCCCATCTTAAGCGCAAGAAGGTGGTGGGCATTCCGCCCGCTTATCCACGGGACTACCAGCGACGAGGCTATCATCAGATAGTGCCGCCTACAAATCGGCTGAAGGCCAAGACCGTATTGCTGCTGCCAAGGCGACGACCCTCTGGCATCGATAAGCAGTTCCACAAGTTTGCCCGAAAACAGGCCACACTCTGGAATCGGGACTTCCAAGAGCCGGAGGACAATGAGGAACAAATGCCGAAACCACAACTTGTGCCCAAGAAGGAGGACAAAAAGAAGCCCAAAAGGAAGGAGGAGCGTCGATCGGTGGAACCTCCACGATTCCGAATGGTCGTGAAAACCCGAACGCCAGTTTCCCGTCCTTCGACGCCCGTCTGCAGTTACGCCGGCCAGCTGGACGTATCGCCGCTAAACGCCGGATTATATGGGGTCCCTGCGTAAATCCGTGTCCGAAACCTGGCGAAACTTCTCCAGTGGCAGCACCAAATAGAGGCTTTCTGGAGGCAGGAGACCAAGACAGCGTTGTGAATTGCCCTTTTTATCAAGAGTTAATTTTTGAACACATTTACTGATATATTTGGCTGAGCTCCTCGCGGGGTTCTGGGATATTATAGTATACTTTAAAATTATTGACGTTTTATAAACTAGTTAAGCGCAACTGGGGGGTCCAAATTAATGGGAAAGGGGAAATTTACCAAGAAAATTCCTTCTCGGAAAGTACCCAGAATGTGAAATTGCTTATACATTCTGTAAACTAATTGCAGTGATGAACCGAATTGTGCAGGTAAACAACCTGATCTCTATTAGTAAACAAGTAATCATTTCTGTAAAGTAATGGGGAATTAAAACTGACGCATTTAGCTGTCATAATAATAAAGCAGGTAAATAAAACGTGTTTATAACTTGTGAGAAAAGTTAATACAATTTTATTGGGGTTCCCATGGTTCTGGAAAAGGTGACTTGTAGAGATTCGAATTTATAAGCTCTTAATACCATTTCCTTTAAATCGTCATCAAATCGTCATCATGTTGACCAGCACTGGCAGGAAAATGAACTGAAGAATTCGAGGTTAGTTATAACCTTTCAACTTTCCCACACTTAAGCCCAATTAACCTTTTACTTTAATCACCAGTTGGATTAGAGTGGCTAAGCTCACATTAATTAATACCCCCCAAAACTTTCGGACTGCCACTCTTCCACAATCAAACCCATGGCCGTTGCCCAACACTGTACAACTGTACTTTCCCAGCCAACTGCAAAACCATTCACAAAGCCGCCTTTTGTTCGCTCCATCCGAAACCATCAATAGCTCGACTAATTAATGGCAAATGACGCGTATATCCGAAAAAAAGAAACCGAAAAGCCTCGAAAAAAAGAAATCAAACCAAGGTATAACCGATGTAGTTAGATCTCACACGGCGAATTGCCCAAGCTCTGTGTACAGGTGGAAAACATAATTAACGAAATGCGTAACAATTTGTTGGAGGAGAGATTAATTTCGAACATTTTTGTGTGATTTCAAACTGTGTCAAGGCCGCCCAGCCGGAGATCTTAAGTGGAGTTGTCTGCTTGGGAGGAGGTGATCTATAGGCCCACCAATACCACATATATTTGGAGTTTGGCCGGACAAACAAAAAAACAAAAACTAAAACTCAGCTCAATCAAAATGCACGGTCACGGTCAGATCGCTGTTGATCTCTAGAGATCGTCGTGCTGCGTTGTCTTCGTATGCAGATGAATCCAACGGATCGAACGCCGTACAGATCTCTCTATAGGGCTACAGTTGATATAGTTGCGCGATTTCTGTGTTTTTCGGGGGCTAACACCCAAGCGCTAATTGCTTAGCTTGTAATTGACCAACTGACAGATCGGACGGCCCCCAAAAACCTTCGCTGGCTTTTCCTGACTCAACACATTTTTTCAATGGCATTTCGCTTTCGAAAAACCAAACTTCGCCATGTGGCCTGATCAGTAATCCAGAATTATGCAAATTATGTTCTCTGGATCTGAGACAGAATGCCGCCAGCTCGGCCAACATCGAAGCGATCGGAGTTAACTGGTTTCGGTTGCTCTTGGCCTGGCCCCCATTCAAATGATTTGCATTTGATTTCCTCGAACTCGCAGCCAAGAGATTCATCGCCATTTTGCCCTGGCCCAGCAACATTTTTGTCATATTTCTCACTTATTTCTAATACCTATGTTTGGTTTAGTAAAGTTCTTCGCTAGTTTCGGCCAACAGGTTTTTAGTTTGGGGATTTGGGATTGACAGCTTCAATATTGATTGTCTTTGGGAGGGCGAGGGCTAACAGATCGTTGAACTTGACATTTTTGTTGGGTTATATAAATTGGGACAAAGACCTTGTTTGATGTCAGCTATATGGCATTGATTTGTTGAGAACATATATCTTACTATGGCCTATATTATTCCTTGAACAGGTTACTTTGGAGGTTACGTTGAAATGTTTTAATTATAATTTTTCAAACTACATTTTTTGTTTACATTGGAAAGAAATAAATGTATTATTATTTTTGCTGTGTTTTTCAAAGTGTGCCTTTTTAATTTTTTCAATTATCACAATTGAATATATTCGCAAAGAAGAATGCAATGAAGCGCTTAGAATAATCTCTATAGTCAAAGGGGTACATATTTTTCACCTTCCATTTTGCATTTTTTATGGATAAGCACATGGACTATACTATATATAAATAAACAATATACACAGATATTTACAGAGCTGTGGCTGTATATGCCCTAAGATTTGCATAATTTTGCTACGTCTGCGCTTTGCTCTGTTCGTAATTTCTGTTTAGACAAATGACTGAAACCCAGCTGTGTCTTCAGTTTCCTCCGTATGGGTGAGTATCTGTGTGCGTCGGAGTATATACAAACTGTTTTTGCATATTAAATATTTGGAAATTTCTTTTGCCGTCTCAAAATGGCAAATATCGAGTTTGAAGCCCTAGGCTAAAAAGCCCTAATGAACAAATTATAAAAAGTAAGCAAGTTAGCTGAGCAGCTCTTTGGGAGTCAGGGTATACTCTAACTGTGACGAATTTTTGGGTTTTGTTTATGACTAAAGATCCATTTCGGTCACTTTCTATTTTACGACGAACAGATCTCTCTCATCTCCGTTCGCGCCATTGATTTCTCTTCATGTGCTGTTATGATTTTATTCCATTCAAATCGATTCCCCTTGATTTGATTGTCTTTTTGCTTTATTTTATTTCCGCCTTGGCAACCAAATGTGTAACAATAATTTTGTTTTGTTTATGCTAGGCATGAACATTTCGGGCGACAAAGGAGTGGAGGGGAATTGGATTCAATGCGCCATAAAAACCGAATGAAAAAAACGTCGATCAAATCGCACTTGTGCTGGGCACTGGCAGTAAATGCCTGTGTAGACCTTAACATTGAAAGTTCCACAAAATAAACAGATACAAAACGAGCTGATTGAACCTTTTTTCGGAGGGCAATTTTAAAAATGGAAATTCCATTGAACGTCAATCAAAAGATTCAAGAAACGAACTTGGGGCAGCGATTCAATCAAAAGACTCAAGAAACAAACTTCATCTCGGCTTGTTACTTTGCTTTCAATTTTGGACAATTGAAATTTTTGTCGTCTAAGTTGTTATGCCCATTAAGAAATTCTACACAACAATTGTCTTATTTATTTGTATTTCCAGAAGTTTGGCAAACCGGTTCGCGGCATAAAATTCGATGTCAGCCAAGAGAAAAAAACATAATAAATTATGGAAGAAGTGTCTGACAGAAATTAGCCACGCGTCACATCCAGGTACCATAAAATTAAATACTAATAAGAGCTTTCAAGTCTAGCCGAATTCTTGAAAGTAAAATCAAAACAACGCATCTTGTTTGTTTTGCTGCCCATGAATTTTCCAGCAAGCGCTGGAAAAACCACATGGGAAAACTTACTCAATCGGTGTCGCGAAAAAGTGTACCAACTCAAAACACACTCACACACACACGCACACGAACTGATACAAAGAGAGCGGCTGAGAGCGAGGAAAACTGGAAAAGCTATGAAAACAAACATTTAAGTGAAAATCGAAGAGCTAAGTCAACAGCTTTTCCAGTGGGTTTTCCGCAAGGCAATCCAAATAAAAAAACAAATCTAATCTCATTTTGCACTTTTCTGGCAAATCAGAACTCTTTCGTCACTTCCGCTTGGATTGTTAGGCAATTGATTTGCAATTAACGCGATTATTAATATTATTTTTTATTATCGATTGCACCACCCAGCGGGGCGTTTCACTTTGCACTTGATTTAAAAGTTTTGGAGCACGACTTGAGGCAGATGTTAAGGCGAAGTGCAAACTAACCAAAAGTGTCGGGGGCGAAGGAGAGATCGGGGGGTTGGTCACTAGGAGGATCGATCCGCTTTTAGCCAACTTGCTGCCAATGCCGACGCACGCTCACTGAAGACTGATTGCGGGCTCTGGAAATAATATGATCGCAGCTAATGCTGAAAAGCACTCACTCACGGTTTCTGAGTTCCAGAGCTTGTGTCAGCGTTTCCGAGTTCAGCTCGCCAAGACTTCGGGGCACGTAATGAAAATCGGAACAGAAAATAATCAAGAGGCAGCTCGAGAAGCCAAACCCGCAAACTCAGCAGCCAGGCAAAAATAAAATTCGTAAAAACACTGAGAGAGCTTTGAGTGGCCAGCGAAGCAACGATGTTTGACTTTTTGGTAACTGAGAAAGCGGCCTCTCCAAATTGTGGCTATTGCTGGATCTATTACGAGTGCGTGGTATCTGTTGAGTGGATCTGGCAATGCCTTTTCGACTGGCGCTTGGAGTGAGTTAGACTGGCCTCTTGAGTCAAAGATAGATTTGCGGATTCTCCAAGAATAGTTTACAATATTTTAATTTCGACCCTATGAAGTTTTTCCTTTTCTTTCCTCTCATAACCTATCATATCTTATCCTATCTTTTGGACATCAATTTTAAGACTTTGCCTTTTAATATCCTAAGATCCCAATTTAAGTTGATAACCTATCAACATAATTTTTAAAATTATAGGTAATAGTATGTTGCATGAAAATATTATTTTGTCATGCTCACTGAAGTACGAAATATACCGATTTAAAAATTAAAATTTGTATACAATTTGTAATTTAAACTTTCTGTGAGTACTGAAGTTACAGTTTGTGGTTGTTGACATTTGCAGCTCGAGGGACAAAAAATCCCCTTTTCAATTGTAGCCACCTTTGCAAAGTTTTCACTTTGCCAACTTGCTTCCTGTTCTTTTATTTTTAAGCACACGAATCAGTTTGCTGACATTTCCAATTTATTAAGGCCAGGTATACAACGAGTACATATTTTCTGCTGACTTTAATAATTTGATTTTGGTGTCAATGTGGAAGGAAAATTACCGGTAGATCGCATGAGGTGTTGTTAATCACGTTATTCATTGTCTAATTATGCAATACGATTTCTTGAGTTAATTGAGTGATGGCCCCTTGATATATCCCATGCAAAAATTCAAATCAGTGGGCGGGGGTCTTACAAAACTGTCAGTTAAATATATTTCATCTCTCCGCAGAGACAAGCTTTCTAAGCTCTTTCCCCTCGGACGGGTTCAATTGCAGTTGACCTAGATGGTAGTAC